CATTCCCCATCCATTCACTCCCCTACACCAGACACCTTAATCACAACCCCCTCTGGGACTACTTTTTTTTTCTCCATTCTGTAAGTTGCCTTTTTATTTTGTTGCTGGTTTCCTTTGCTGTGCAAAAGCTTTTGGTTTGATGTAATCCCACTTGTTTATTTTTGCTTTTGTTGCCTTTGATTTTGATGTCAAATCCAAAAAATCATTGCCAAAACCTGTGTCACGGAGCTTAGCCCCTATGTTTTCTTCTAGGAGTTTTATGGTTTCAGGTCTTAAGTCAAGTGTTTAATCCATTTTGAGTTACTTTTTGTGTGTGGTGTAAGATAGTGGTCCAGTTTCATTCTTTTGCATGTGGCTATCCAGTTTTCCAAACACCATTTATTAAAGGGACTGTCCTTTCCCCGTTGTATATTCTTGGCTCCTTTGTCATAAATTAATTGACCATATATGCGTGGGTTTATTTCTGGGCTCTTAATTCTGTTCCATTGATCAATGTATCTGTTTCTATGCCATCAAACTTCAAATTAAAAAAAAGTCACTAACTCTGTGTTTCTCCCTTGTGAATATTTCTAAACTTTGTCCCTGTCCTCATGTTCCCATAGATGCTTCCGCTCAGGGGAAGACTTTATCTTCATAGGGAAAATTGAGGCTATCAGTTTTGCTGTTCCTTGGTTTTGTGTCACCACAATGACAGATGTCCTGTTCCCATCATTACTCCGTATCCTCCCTTCTCATGTGAAGAAGTTTCTCTAGTCTTGGGCAAGGCTGCCTCTTCCACATCTGCTGTGGTCCCTCCTCCCCTCTCATCGCCTGGATTCTACATTACTGGTCTTTCCCTCTTGAGTGTTTCCGCTTTCCCCCTCTCGGCTGGCTTCTGCTTTTCCAGCCTATAAACAATAAAAGATGGCTAAGACTCTCATCCTTAAAAAACAAAAATTCCTTCCCATAACCCCAGATCATACTCCAACTGCTCTTCTTTTTCCCCCACCTTTGTTCATAGTGAAGCTCCTCAAAGGTCACTCTGCCCACCTTTGCCAGTCGCCTGAAGCTGATGTGACAGAAGTCACCGATGTCCTTCCAATCACACAGTTGACCAGGCTCTTTTCAGTCCTCACCTCTAAATCCAGGTGGCTAATGGAGACCTCATCTTCATGCCCTGGTCAACAGATGAATGACCAGAGCTGGAACTATGGCAGTAAGAGAGAAAGAATTTCCCTCCATACCTAAATCTCCATGCCCATGTTGTGCTCACCCTGCTGTCTTGACTGGACTATTGCAGTAGCCTTCCAGCTGGTCTCTATGCTTGGGTTTCACTTCCCTTCGGTAAATGGCAGAGTCAAGCTCTAACACCAGACAGGGAGAGCGTGAAGATGGGGCCAGCCTGCCTCTTTGGTTAGGGAGACACCCTCTGTCTACCTAATTCCACTCTTTGCCTGACAACCCCTGATGTTTTAATTGCCTAATTTACCTTGCTTCTTTAATGCCTTTTCATCACAGTCATCTCCTTCTTGGAGAATATGCTGGAAGAAAGATGCCATCTCCCCCCAGCACATAAACAAATACAACGCAGACACACTGACACACACACACTTCAGCTTCTGATTCATTCTTCATGCTGCTGTTGAAGCGCTTGATCTTCTTCTCTGTCTCAGGGTCAAGTCCAGACTCTCGGAGCGTGTCTTGTAGGATCTCTGCCCCATCCCCCGTACCACCTCTCCTTTCATGTCTTGATTTGCTCAGACTCCCCAGATGGTAATCTTACCTTCACATCTTCTCCAGCCTGAGGTGGGGAGACCACTTAACTCCCTTGCACCTGCCCCATTCCCGCCCTGGTTGATTTCTATTACTTTATTATTATGTGTTTGTCTTCCGCAAGGCTGAAAGCACTTAGCAGGTGGGATCTTGGGTGTCTTGGTCTCCCCGTTCCCAGCACAGTGCCTGACAAAAAGAAAGGGCTCAGTAAACGGTGGCGTGAGGGGTACGGTGGTCAGAGACAAAGTGTGCAGGGAAGGAGGGAGCCGTAAGATAATAATCATCCTTAACACATATTGAGCTCTGACAGAATGCCAGCCGTTAGGTCAGATGCTTGGCTGTCATCTCTCGTAGACCTCAACAACGCTCACTGAGGAGTAGATACTATTATATCCCCATTTTACAGCAAAGAAATGGGGAGTTTAAGTGACTTGTCTGTTGTGTCAAGGAGTTTGGACTTATTCTTAGGCTTTTTGGCTCCAAAGAAAACAGCTAAATATTAGAAAGTATAAAGAAAAATGGTAAGACTTTCTTTCCTTGGAAAAGAGACACAAACCTCCTTCCTCTTAAACCTGAGGAATGTGGGGTTTTTTTGTCATAATTAAAAACCCAACTTCTTTATCCCTTCTTGTTAGTCTATTTACTCTGTGTTTGTCTCTGCCACAAGACCATTTCTGTCACTGAGACCAAATAGTGTGGTTAATTTGGGGCCCTGGCAGGCAGCCCTGTGCTCTATCACTTAGATGAAAAGGGGTGAAGGTTGCTGACATTGAGTGTTATGTACTATGCTAAACTCTCTGCAGGCATTTCTCATTTTAATCCTCACAACAACCAGGTACCATTATTGTCCCCATTTTTCAGACAAGGAAACAGAAGGTCTGATGTCCTAGATCCCTCAGCAATAAGTAGCACGGATGGGGCTTGAGCCTTCTCTCTGATTCTGAGGTCTGTGCTCTCATCCTCATGGGCACTGCCTCCCGCTTTTGGAGTCTTCCTTCCCACAGCCTTGGTCTTTCTAGGAATTTTTTAACCTGTGCCTACTTCATGACCCTTTTGAGCCCAAATGACTGCCTAGCCGATATATTAACTCCTAGAGACAACTATATACTTCATAGGGTTAACTTGGCTGCATTCCTTCTAGGTCTGAACCATTCATTTTGCTTCCAGATGATACAGTCATTTAATATCTAGGATACACAATCAAACTGTGTCAGGCTTTGATCTATAAAAACAGCATATACAGGGCTGTCTTGGATAGGATGGTCCTGTTATTCTAACTTACACATCTACCCTTACAATTTCTAGCCAGCACAAGAGTTAGAAAGGGCATAGGGAGGGCAAGGGGATCCAAAATGGCTGAAAGTTTTTATCCATCACATCCAGGATATAAAAGCTACTTAAATATTAAATCACCTGGAAATTTTGATGGTATTCTTTCTGAAAATGTTTATGATTATAAACAAATAAAAATTTCTCCCTAATAACATTGTTAGGATATAGTACCTCACATCATAAAATAGCTTCACAGAAATTTTTTGCCATGCCTTTTAAAAAGCCAGCAGATTTTCAGCTTTCTCATAATAATGTCACTCGAAATACCCAAGAGTCTAAATATAATTTTCTCTTGTGTGCCTGTGTTATGGATGTGTGTCTCAGGGGAAACTTCAGGTGGGTTCAAGGTGGGCCTTTCTCATATCAAATGCTACTCTTGAGTGAGGCTGTAAATTGAAACGTGTTTTCCATAGAGTGGTAGTCAAAACAGTTTTTTAAAAAATTAAAAATTTTTTTAGAATTTAATCATCAGAGTATTGTTTAAAAGGGAGAAAGGCACTAGATCTCTGTAAAATGAAGCCCAAGTGTTGAGATGGGGTGCTGGGTAATTCTTATAAATAATAATTTTAAAGAATAGGTCCCAAGGTCTAAGCACTTGGGGTTACAGCACTTACCTATCTCTCTGGGCCACGTGGTCATTCTGTTATAAATGTGGACACGGCCTAGAGAGTACACGTGCTGCCTTGCTTCCTGGCAGCACACAGACTCTAGGATGAGTGGGTGACTCTTTTCTAAAATAGCCCATCCTGAGTATTTGATGATAGAGATACCTGTAAGCTCCCGAACAGAAGATAATTCTTGCCTTCCTCTCCTGCGGAGGTCCCTGTTATGCCTGCGGGAGGAAGAGGGAGTTGTCACAATACAATTTTAGGAATGTTAGGAGCTGTGCTTTGGTTCAACTTCTACTGGTGTAGAACTCACAGAGTTCTGTGGAGGGCAAAGGATCAGATAAGAAAGTAGTCATTCCTCATAGACTGAGAAACCTTAGGAATCTTGCTGGTGAATTTTATTCCCTTCTCGACTGAGGAACCTTTCTTTCTTCCTAGCATGACACATGGAATAAATCACTGATGGTGTGGACAATATTTGAGATAAATGTAACTGTCAGATAGTTTCCTAGGAGCTCTGCAAGCACACATGGTGCCTGGAGAGAGCTGAGTCTATGTTTTAATTCAGTGGAATATATTCAGACCTCTTTGGGGGCCCTAACACGTCTGTGGCCAAGGGCTCTGTGCTACATTATTAGTAATAGTTTTATGTGCGTGTGTACGTTCTTGAGCAATTAAGCCATTTCTCCAAAATTTCTGTTTAGTGCAAACACTAAGCCCAGGTCAAAAATGTTCACAAAGACATTAGCAAACTCTAATGGAGGTTTGATTTTTCCAGGCATTCAGAACACAATTTCTAAAAATGGTTGAAAACAATTACCTTAGACGTATGGTGCATCATTGAACAATGACCTTTTAGGTTAATTAAGAAAGCTGGAGCCCCAGAGGATTTTTGAGCAACTTTTTTGTTGCCTGAGGGAACTACAGAATAGAAATGTGGTGTAAATGTTTAGAAAGGTGATGGTTTTCAAGGTTGTGAAAAATGAAGACCAGCCACCAGAAGAAAATGCTTTTATATGAATTCAAAAGAGAGATTTTTTTTTTTATTCTAAGTAAAATTTGGACCCTCAGACCTCTTAGGTTTTCTATAAATTGGCTTTTGTGTATCCACATTAAGCCTTTCATTTGCTCCTATTTAATATATGAGCAAAGGGTGAAAATAAAGAGGAAAATGGGTCAATTTTACAAGAACGTATGCAACAGAAGCATTACTTCTTTCAATTTCCTGTATAAAAATGTTTGCTCACTTTGTATGCAAAGTACTTTCATCATGGCAAGCGTCTAATGACCAGTTTTGTCGTTTTCCAGCTGACTCAGGTGTAGACACTTTGGCAGTGTTTATGGCCAGCAGCGGAACCACAGACGTTGCGAATCGGAACAGCCCAGCCACACCGCCAAATACCCTTAATCTCCGTTCCTCCCACAATGAACTGTTGAACGCTGAAATAAAACACACAGAAACCAAGAACAGCACACCCCCCAAATGCAGGAAAAAATATGCACTAACTGACATCCAGACAGCCATGGGCCTCTCAGATCCAGCTGCACAGCCCCTGCTGGGAAATGGCTCTGCCAACATCAAGCTGGTGAAAAATGGGGAGAACCAGCTCCGGAAGGCTGCAGAACAAGGGCAACAGGACCCCAACAAAAATGTCAGCCCCACTGCAGTCATCAACATAACTTCTGAGAAGTTAGAGGGTAAAGAGCCCCACCCACAGGATTCCTCGGGCTGTGAAATCTTACCCTCCCCACCCAGGAGAACCAAGAGCTTCCTAAATTACTATGCAGACCTGGAAACCTCAACCAGAGAACTCGAGCAGAACTTGGGCAACCAGCATAGGGTTGTGGAAGAGAAGTCCCAGCCGGCCCAGGGTCAGGCCTCCACCATCGTTGGGAATGGCGATTTGCTGCTGCAGAAACCAAACAAACCCCAGTTCAGCCCTGAAGATGGCCAAATAGCCACAGTGTCATCCAGCCCGGAGACCAAGAAGGATCATCCTAAAACGGGGGCCAAAACTGATTGTGCGCTGCACCGGATCCAGAACCTGGCACCAAGCGATGAGGAGTCCAGCTGGACAACACTGTCCCAAGATAGCGCCTCACCCAGCTCCCCGGACGAAACAGGTACCCATGGGAAATGTGTAGCCTACGGGAGCACTTGCTTTTGGTGATTTCAATTATTGGTGGACTAAATCTCTAGACTGGCCAAAAAAATTCATTTTCAACCAGAGAAGAACATGAGCCTCTTGAGGTAAAATTGGGCAATTTGTGTGGAAAATATTGTTAGATTCCTCTACCACATTTTAGGTTAGTTTCATTTTGGTTCATTACCTAAGTTGTTTGTTCTGGTAAGCACTTTTCTCAAGGAAATAGGTCCTTGGTGTTAAGTACAGTAAAACATTATCTGTTTAGAAATTATGCTTCCAGTGAACTATTTCTTGATAGTATCTAGAAATATTTGGTTTTGTTAAGCAAAATAATAGAAGAAATACAGTTTCGGGGGGCAGGATATAACCGATTAAGAGAACCAACTATTTTAAAGTTCTCAGAAGAGTTTATTTATGCTCAAGCTAATGAAAAGTTAAAAGTCGATTCATTAAAGACATTTCCCTTTTGACCTTCACTGGAGAACATTTTATTAGCCTTGTTTAAGTGATATTTGAAAGTGAGAAAGTGGTGTTTCTTTTAAAATATCTTCAGAAGTTTAGGATTTTAACTAGTCTGAGACCAGTCTTTCCTGACGTTCGTCTATATTCATGACATCTTTGGATTTGTCAGAGGAGTCAAAATTGTGACAGAAATGAACAGGGTCCTAAAAGTCAGCTACTTTTAACCTCATGTTCTCATAGCTCCCATTATACTGATCATTAGATTAAAAGATGTGGAGAACTTTGTGGTTTTCGAATTCAGTGTAAACGAGTATTCACAAAGGCTTATTTCTTTAATGTAACCGTGCAGCTGCCCTAGTGGGTCCCAGGGCTATGTTAATGGGATACGGATATAAGAGAACAGATAGAACCACCAGGGAAGGAAATAACATTTTTCCAACCTATATGGAAGAGAAATTACAAGGCCTACAGATAAGGAAAAGAGAAGAAGAAAGTTAAGGCATTAACTTGTGTATAAAAAAAAGAAGTGTTTTTGAAGTGCCATTTAAAATTGCAGTACTTTAAATGATAGATTTCATCAGCCTGCTGTAGCTGGATATGGCGGTAGGAAGATTGAGAGGAGTCCATTTCATCTCATAAATGTCTGGCCCTGCACATTTTTGGAATCATAATTACGTTTAGTAATGTCACTGAGTTCACAACTCTCTATTACTTTTTACCCATTTAGAGGAATTCATATCCTATAGCTGAGGGACACTGTCATCTGCTAGTGTTTGAATCTACACAGAGGACTCCTTGAGAGTCTCACATCCAAACTTTACCTGGTGTTTGCCCTAAGGCCTCACTGTCTTCCTCCGGTCATGGCAGCCTTTCTGTTGCTCTTCTAGGCACAGCGCTTTCTGTTGTAGTTGTATTTTAAATTTTACTGAGAGGTATTAAATGAGTAAAATCTCCCCTGTTTCTCAGTCTAGCCTCTTTTCCCAATGATGACCACTGCCTTTTTATTTTTTAAAGTATTTCCTTGCAGAAAAAATTTTAGGCATATATCTGCATTTATAATAAATTTTAAAATTTAACCAAATTTTATGATAATGATATTTTTAAAGAATCCTTACTTTTTGTTTATGTTTATTTTTTTATTTATTTGTTTTTTGCTGAGGAAGATTTGTCCCCAGCTAACATCTGTTTCCAATCTTCCTCTTTTTACTTGAGGAAGATTCTCCTTGAGCTTACATCTGCGCCAGTCTTCCTCTATTTTGTATGTGGGTCGCCCCCACAGCATGGCTGCCGATGAGTGGTGTAGGTCCGTGCCTGGGAACTGAACCTGGGCCGCTGAAGTGGAGCACACCGAACTTAACCACTAGGCCACAGGGCCAGCCCCAAATTCTTACTTTTTAGAGATATATACTAATATACCAGTATATAATAGTATAATATATATAACATTACATAATATAATATAAACTGATATAAATAATATTGTGTGTGGGATTTTTCTCCAGAATAATTGGGGTGGGGATAAAAAAAAACAAAATTGCTCATAAGTTGGTAATTGTTAAAGGTGGGTATATGAGGCTTCATTATTCTGTTCTAATTTTGAATGTTTAAAATTTTCCACAATAAAAAGTTAAAACAGGAAAAAATTACTCACATTACATTGTTTTGTGAATGCTTTGCTTAACACTTAAGTATATATTTTGTAGAGCAGTCCGTATCAAGATATACTGTTTTTCTACCTCAGGCTTTTTAAGTACTAGGCATGCTGCTCCACATATTCAAGCTCCATGATTTATTTAGTGATTCTCTCACTGCTGAGTATTTAGGTTATTTCTGTCCACAGCTTCCTCGCTTATTGAGTGCTGGAGTCAGTAAGGGCCTGTGGAGAGCACAAAGTTTAAGCTGAAAATGTGCACTCTGCTGCATCCACTGTGACTGTCTCCAGGAACCCTTTCCGGATCCTCTCTGCTCACCACTCATTTGCTCAGTGTCCTGGCATTACTTTCTGTTGGGTTTTTCTACAGAACCCATTATAGGGCTTGGCATGTGATGAGAACTGGATTAGAGTTTCCTGACATGTTGAGAGGATATGTTCATTTTTCTCTCTTAGAGTTGATTTGGAAGACCTCTGAATTGTAAAGTAAGGCTGACAATAGGGTGATGGTCCTTAATGGATCTCTAAGGATAGATGTTTTGAATCAAATATGCTTGAAAGAATGTGTTAGCTGTGACTCTAAAGCAGTGAGATCAAGTTTTTAAAAAATATACTAGAAGCCAAACCTGTGCTATCCTTCACAATGGTCCCCTTGGGATCTCTGTACTTGTTTCAGCATGCTGCAGTATCTCAAAACATTAATGTTAGGAATAGTTGGGGGGCCGGCCCCATGGCGTAGCGGTTAAGTGCGCACGCTCCGCTTCGGTGGCCCGGAGTTCACAGGTTCGGATCCCGGGTGCACACCGACGCACTGCTTGTCAAGCCATGCTGTGGTGGCGTCCCATATAAAGTGGAGGAAGATGGGCACGGATGTTAGCCCAGGGCCAATCTTCCTCGGCAAAAAGAGGAGGATTGGCAGCTGATGTTAGCTCAGGGCTAATCTTCCTCACAAATAAATAAATAAATAAATAAAATTTGGGAATTTTTTTGGAATTTCCTCAGAGCCAGTGAAAAGAAACCACTTTACTTCATGATCACACTTCAGGTAGTGACCACTACTTAAATTAGTAAAATAGGCAATTATTCAGCATTGGTATTTCTTTTTTTTTTTTTT